AGGGAAACAATTTTTCTTGCAAGGTAAGATAAACATGCGGAAAACAGTGTACGATACATCGTCTTTACCCGAGCAGAATAATTAACACAGCAAGCTGCGACAGGTCAGCTACCGACCAATGAAAACCAGTGTGTCATCTACGCCCCGCCACACACCGTATCATTAAGTTTGGCGAATTCAAGAAGTTTCATGGTCACCATAGTTACACATCGTAAATATTATAAATCAAGTTTGTGAATTAAATCAGGTTTGTGACCATTATTGTTTCGCGGAAACTAGCGGACTATGAACCAATTTTATTTACTGTTACGATCAGTTTGCTTACTACGGTGACATTTTTGCATCGATTGTGCGTTTATCAGAATGGCATCTAAAAGGTTGCTAAAAAGTAAGAACATGTCGCAAGTATCTTCAGCGACAACAATGAAAGATACATCGATTAGCAACCAGAAGATCAAGATGTGCATTTTTTGCAAGTACCAGCACAGTTCTTCAACTATCTGCGACAGAGATCCTAAATATTCAAGTTATATTGAAGACTTGGTCAATAAAAAGTGGCAAAATAAACAAAAGAATAACCTTAAAAAGTGCCATTTCTGTAAGGCATTCGGACATACTGTAAAACACTGTGTTGGGAAACAGATGTTAAAAGACAAGAAAAGATCCTTGTTTGCAAAAACTAATTCAGTTACAATGGATTCAGAAGGTATTCCTACTCTAGATTGTTCACTGTGCTACTGGAGAAAGAATCAAGGAAAAGTTACAGCTCCACATATCATGTTTATAAGAAAAAGCCAATTGAAATGTCCAGGAACTAAAAAGATAAAGAACGAAATCATAATTGCAGAGCTAGAATCCAGCAAGAGTAGTAATACAAGCAAGAAAGTTGAAACGAAAAAGACAACAGCTACTGAAACAGAGAAAAAGTCAAACTCAGAAACAATGAAAATTAATCAAGCAAAGGATATCACTATTCCAACAATGACATCAGTCGAGACAAAAGCAACTCAATGTGGGAAAAAACCAGACTGTGAAATACTAATAGATAAACAAGCCATGAATAAAGAATTTTCATTATTAGAAGACAATAAATATATAGATTATGATCAATTCCACAGAGCAACAAGTCAGAAATATTGGGAAAAGTCAACTAAATGTTTGATAAACAAGAAACCAGCACAAATGCAATTAAATAGAAAATCAAATATCACTTTGGTACGTGAAAATTTTTTAGAAAAGTCAGATTATAGCGGAGAAATGGTTTACTGTTTAGACAGAGAAGGTTTTTGTATGCGATTTTGGACAGCTTATATTTATTTGAAGTCGCCCTATATATCAAGACCATTGAAAGTAGTGGTAATGTACGACATCGGAACAGATGTGGTTCTGGGATACAAAGACTTCAACATAAGAGACTGTTCTGATGAAGACATACGAGTCTGGGAACAAAGTAATCTCTATCAACAAAAATAACAGCTGATTCAAGGAAAAGTACCATCAACTGAAGTATCACTATTTACGAACATGAAACTACAGTCCATCATCCTGAACATCAACATCAAGCTAACATATCACCATGTATAAAGTTCAAGATTATTATCAGTCAGGAAGCTACATAGAACTACCTACAACCAAAACCTGAACAATTATCAAGAATTGATATTTTATCATTCTTCACCTTCAAGATTGTCTTATTTCAACCAAAATCAGAAATCACCAACTAGTACTGTACAGGGAATGAATAGAACTATATCAGCCACTGAATTATTCAAATTTGAAAATCACTATTAAGGAACACGAAATTGTTTTTTCTCCAGATACCTCAAAATCGACCATTGAAACATTTCAAAATCATCAAATTTACGCGACACTTCAAGAGCATCTATACAATATCAAGATCGTCGAGTACCAAACGTATCATAAAATAAAGAATGCGAGAATAATGAAGCATTCCTACAGTTTAAGCACAATCAACAGCCACACAAATGTCAGTATTACATCGTGTGTACACAAATATTAATTGTGAAAGTTAATCAAGTTAATTATCTAGTGTTTGTGTAAATATCAAATTAATGAAGTATTTTAAAAAGTGCATAAACACCTGGTTTCATTTATAAGTCACATACTGTGTGTATTGAACACCTTCCGTTTAATTTCATTACGAATTATTTTAAAAGTGGCATATCAGTGTATGCAGTCACTGAACACGGTTAATAGTATTGTGTTAACTTATAAAATTATAATATTTTTAGTCAGTATATTTGCAAGATTACCAGCTGTCCTACCATGAAAGACCCAAGAGCAGAACAGACTGTCCAGCGAACCAAGGAATGAGAACCTGAAAGCAAGCGCCAGAGTACAAGCAAGACACACACAGCCTGCTGGGATGGATCAAGATCAAGGATAGTTAATGGAATGAATGGGAATGAAAGAGAATAAAACAGGTATGAATGATGAATGAAAGATTTGTGGGTAGTATTTTAATAGTGTACATGTATTTTACTTAGGTTAGTAGTTCATTAGGATTATTTTAGGATTCATGTAATGACAGTAGTTCAAAAGTTAAAAAAAAAAAAAAAAATTCTCTCTCCCCAGGAACACTACAAAAGAATTAGATCAAGATTTAGCGATAGATCATATAGAAATCTTTTTCCACAGAATGATTTAGATAAATTCAATTTGAAATGTTTTATCATAGGTGTACAGCACAGGGACATGGTAAATTGGTCCACGACACCCAAGATTATAAACTGCTATAATTATACTGATGCTGACAAGATGGACTGATGGTAAAGAAAGAGTGCACACATCAAAGCACAAGCAGAGTAGAGGAGTTTAACTCATCTGTGTCCATCTAAAGGGGGAAAGGTGTCTGAGATTCCTTGGGGTTAAATACTCTGTTAAAGGTGTTATAGACTTGGAGGAAACTCTTAAGATCTATGAAAAAATATATCTCAACTATCATTGTTTTCATGTTGGATTCCTTGGAGTTGGGTAATTACTCTATGAAAATATATCTCAACATGCATTTTTTTTTTCTGTGGTAGATTCCTTGGGGTTGGGTAATTACACTGTAAAGGTGTTATAGGGGCTTTTGGGAAACTAGAAGCACTATGTTAAATATATCTTACCACTATCATATCGGCTAAGAGTCCTTGGGGTTTAACACCCTGTGACAGGTGATGTAGAAATATTGGTTCAATCCAATTTTCTATGTAATAAATATCTCAAAGCTGATCATCATCATCACTATCATTTCACTTTGAACCTGATAGAGTAGATATAGTGACTAGACAATACTACAGATGCAATAGGTGCAAAGATGAGACACTCTTCACTAGCTCAGTACTGGGAAAAGCATGCAGTAAATATTAAAGGGCAGTAATTGAGGATAATCAGGAACCATAATCCCTAGTGGGAATACAATTAAATTGATTTATTATATTTGGTCAAATGAAAATGACACTTGATGTTCCATAAAGTGTCATTTTGTTAAAAAGGGGGGAGAGTGTGATGACCCTGCTTTGCATGGTCTCCACGAGTACATTGTGGCAAGCAGGAAGTCCGTGCTACAAGTGACGGCACGAGATACTTGTGGCCGGTGGAGTAAGCGAGGCGAAGCCCGAGCTAGCCTCGTGGTCAGTCGATCATCAGAAGTCAGAGAAGACGGTTGTAGTATTTGAAGATGTCGTCTTTATGTTGCGCAAATGTTTAATGTTCGAAGATGTCGCGAGTGATAGAATTGAGAATAATTGTTTAAGCATGTTGAATACATGGACCAGAATAAACTGATAGTATGTACCAAGATGCTGAGCGGCGTTGTGTTGTCAACCCTAGACGTTAAAGTCGGTGTAAACCAAGGTTCATGTCAAGTCTACGTCAAGGTTCTTTCCAAGTAAACCACGATTCATTCTAAGTTGAATCAGAATCATTCCAAGTGAAGCATTAATTTATTACAGTCTCTGTGGTTGTCAGTATGTGTTTGTCTGCCTGTTTGTCTGTATTTGTGTGTGTGTGTGTTTGACTGCGTGTGTGTCTATGTGGCTGTATGTATGTGTCTGCATGTTTGTCTGCGTATGTGTGGTGTGTGTGTCAGTGTGTGAGCACGAATGTAAATATGTGTGCTGTGTGTTCCCCTGTGTGTGTTTATATGTAAGTGTCTGTGTGTGTGTCTGTATTTTTGTCTGAGTGTGTGTGTGTCTCTGTGGGAGTGTCCGTGTGTGCATGTGTGTGTCTCCATTCATGACTGTATTTATGACTGTATGAGTGTATGCCTGTATTACGTATGAATGTATGTTTGTATCTTTGTATGTATGTTTGTGTGTACGTATGCCTGTGTGTATGTGTGTATGCATGTTTGTTTGTATGTATCTGTGTATGTATGTATGTAATGTATGCATGCATGTTTGTGTGTGTGTAAGTGAGTGGGTGAGCGCGTGTATGTGGGTGTATGTATGCACGCGCGGGTTTTTGCATGCACTTTACAACTCATGCTTTTGTGTTTTTTTTAAATAATATTCATAATATGCATATCATCATATGATCATTACATGCTTTATTAGTAAAATACAACTGCTGTGCGAAAGATGGTTGACTGGAAGGGCCGAATGTAAGACGGGCCTGCGTGCCCAATTTGTGACCCTTTGAAAAAAAAGTTCGTTCGTTCCCTAGTCTCTGGGTATCTAACTTCCTCCCTAGTCTCAGGGTATGTAACTTCCTTCCTAGTCTCTGGGTATCTAACTTCCTTCCTAGTCTCTGGGTATCTAACTTCCTCCCTAGTCTCTGGGTATCTAACTTCCTTCCTAGTCTCTGGGTATCTAACTTCAACCCTAGTCTCAGGGTATCTAACCTCCTCTCTAGTTTCTGGGTATCTAACTCCCTCCCTAGTCTTTGGGTATCTAACTTCCTCCCTAGTCTTTGAGTATCTAACTTCCTCCCTAGTCTCTGGGTATCTTCCTCCCTAGTCTCTGGGTATCATCTAACTTCCTCCCTAGTCTCAGGGTATCTAACTTCCTCCCTAGTCTCTGGGTATCTACCTTCCTCCCTAGTCTCGGGGTATCTAACTTCCTCCCTAGTCTCTGGGTATCTAACTTCCTCCCTAGTTTTTGGGTATCTAACTTCCTCCCTAGTCTCTGGGTATCTAACTTCCTCCCTAGTCTCTGGGTATCTAACTTCCTCCCTAGTCTCTGGGTATCTAACTTCCGCCCTAGTGTCTGGGTATCATCTAACTTCCGCCCTAGTGTCTGGGTATCTAACTTCCGCCCTAGTGTCTGGGTATCATCTAACTTCCTCCCTAGTCTCTGGGTATCTAACTTCCTCCCTAGTCTCTGGGTATCTAACTTCCGCCCTAGTGTCTGGGTATCATCTAACTTCCACCCTAGTCTCTGTGTATCTAACTTCCTCCCTAGTCTCAGGGTATCTAACTCCCTCCCTAGTCTCAGGGTATCTAACTTACTCCCTAGTCTCAGGGTATCTAACTCCCTCCCTAGTCTTTGGGTATTGGACAATCACTTTCCCCATGTGGATCCTGTTATTGTGAAAACAAGAATAGACACACTGCATATCCACAAGCATGTCGTAAGAATCGACTAATTGAGAGTTTCCTTTAAAGTCGGAGGAGTGCATCTGCCTTCTTGGTCAACAGTCTAAAAAAATTGTGTGACATTTTCACTTCAAATGTTCAAAAGTTGTTTTTCAAAGACTGAGACCCAGTCCATGAATCACATCTGTATGTTGCTACAGGAAAGGTGAGTGCTTTCAGAATGGTGACTTTCATTTCATTGCTGGACGTTAACTGTAGACCTTTGTTTTGGCGATCCTTTGTTTCTTACTTCTGTCTTTACTTCTTTTTATGGAGCCTAGATATTCAATATCTCCACATTTTATTGTTATTTGTGTGTGTGTGGTGTGTGTAAAAAGGGGGGGGGGGGGTAACATGCAGTTTTATCTGTGGAAATTATTATTATTAATATTATTATTATTATTTCTTTCATTTGGGAACAAGTCAGTTAGTTGTGACGGTTCCGGCATCACAGCAAATTAGTTTGGCCCATAATTGCTCAACCGTCTATGCCAGTGATTCCAGTCACAAACTGATTCAGATACGCTGGATGTTTCAAGTGAATGCCGTAGCCATACAAAGTGTGCAAAACACACACGATTTGACCTGGCAAACCATAAGGTGCATGCCTACTTAAACTCATTGCGATACAAGGCTTCATCGCTGAAAATCACATTCCTTCGACGGATAGCTGGGCGATGAGTAGATAAAAACTATTCCTGGCCATTTTCCTCATGTCCTCGGCTAAACTGCATTCAGGAACTAATTATTATCTTGACTGTCCTGCTTCCCACCCCTCTCATCTCCTTCTCTCTCTCTCTCCCCTCCCCCATCTCTCTCTCTTTCTCTCTATCTCTCTCTCACTCTCTTTCTCTCTATCTGCTCTAGCCCAAAAGAAAAAGTTTTTGACGTTTCCAGTATCCCCACATTTTATTGTTATTTTTGGGGGACAGGTAGTGTTGTCTGTGGATATTTGTTTCTTTAAATGCATTAACAAATTAATATTCTGGCTGTCTTCCCACCTCTATCTCTCTCTGTTTCTATCTCTCTTTCTCTCTCTCTCTCTCTCTCTCTCTATATATATATATATATATATATATATATATATATATATCTGTGTGAGAGAGAGAGAGAGAGAGAGTGAGAGAGAGAGAGAGAGAGAGAGAGAGAGCCCGCGTTCTAATTCATAAGATAATAATAAATAGATAAATAAAATAAAACCAGTCCTTTATTAACTTGTCGCATATTTTATTTATTTGAAGTTTTTTGTTTTATTCAGGTAATGTAGTTGACAAAAGAAAAATAAATAAAGGACTCTTCAGAAACAAACGTTCTTTGTCGAAGTGTCCTTAATTATAAGCATAATTCATCAAAATTAATTTCTTTTATATCTGTGGTAGCGCAGATTTTCGTTTAGTTGCAGTCAATCTTTAATCTGTATTTTAGACACATCATAGAGTATTAAAATCCTTGAGTTAAAAGAGAACAAAAACAGAAGGGACAGGATGAGGAATGTCTGCATTAAATAGAAGGTTGGAACAAGGCGGTGCCTGAATTACATTGAAAGTTATCGAAGTGATTTGGGACAAAGTAAGAATTTAACCCTACCAAACTGTAAGTGCGACATTCTACAGTGAAACATCTGGAAGACGGGTGCCAGGAAGAATATGCCAAAGATGGATCTGGCAAAAAGAAATGTGAAAACATTCATCACCCAAGCCATCAGAGAAGTGCAAGATAAAAAACCAGTAACACTGTGACGATACAACAACAACAAGAAGGAATTCAGACGGAGATTTGTTTCAATGTAAACATTGCTCTCAATGAAACTATTGAATGACTTAAACACAGATTAAAATACACAGAGGAGATGGTGAGTAATCAAACCAGATTGTTATGAAGTTACCTGAATAAAATTTAAAAAATGTTTTTTTTTTTTTTTTAAACGAATGAAGCGCATATCGATTCCTTCTCGTCCCCTTTAGGACGAAATTTGTCGTTATTTGAAGCCCTACTCTATCACTTTCCAGTGGCCGCAATATAGCTTTGTCATGGCCTAAAGGCTGAACGCGGTTTCTGGGACCGGTCCCCTGTCATCCTCACCCGCATGGTGGCACATTGTGTCATCGGGTGTTTGTCGCTTGTGTGATGTCCTGGTGGGTAGAAAGTCAGTCATGAAGCGCATTTTTTTTAATGAAAAGCATAAGAAGGTCCAGGCAAAAATGTACCTTAAAGTTGCAACGGACATGGAACAGTTTTTACATGAGACCGTGGGGATATTAAAGGATATGGGCTGAAAAAAGGTTGCTCTTGGATGGCCACAAGCAGAAGTCACGATCAGAAATGTGTGTGCTACCAACAGGATAGCTCATGGTGATGAATAGGTTATAGTGCCACGCATTAAAACATACCTGCACAAAGTGATAGTTGCCTTACATCGAGAATGCCCGGAATGGAGACTTAGTGAAAAAGGCTTAGCCCCTAGGCCATATTTATGACCAGGCTATATTGCGGCCCCTGGCAAAAGCCAGAGTAGGGCTTGAAATAACGAAAAATCTCATCCTAAAAAGGACGAGAAATTATTGTATATGTTGTTAAAGATACGTCTGCAGTGAAAGGTTTAAAAGAGTGGGTGGGATTTTATTGCAAACGTGAATGGACACTAAAACACAGGGAGCATTGAGTAAACCGTCACAACATCCAATATCCCAGTTGAGGTAGAGGCTGTACCAGAAACAAACGGCAGCTAAACAGTGAAGACAGACTAGAAAGAACCGAATAACAAGAACATTATCTTATAGACACTGCTGCCTGACCTCATGGTCCTAGATCATTCAGGGCTCCTACTGGACTTATAACTTATAATTAAGGTTAGAGGTTTGAACAACGGATCAACATCATGGCACACGGGTAGTAACCCAGAAGTGCTTCGTTTTACTAGAAGTCCAAGTCCACGTGAGAAAATCCTAGCCCTTACCAGGGATTGAACCAGGAAGCTCTAGAACTCGAGGCGGACACCATGCCTCGAGACCACGCAACCCCCTTATAACTTTTAAGTCAGCTCCGGACTCACAGACAATCAATTATACTTTCATGACGGGTGAGAGATAGAGTGGTCCTCATTCCTGGTGATTGAGCAACAACCAAGAATGTGAGCCTCCTTATGATAAAACGGACGCTGTGAAGGGACTCAGGGATCAAGTGGACAGACAGGCACCAGAACTGAGTAGCCATGTCTTGAGAGACTAATTCAGCGCAAAAGGGGGAGTGGGTGAGCAGAGGTTATGGGAGGTATTCAACATTGAGGAGAAAACAGGCGGACTTTTGATCGGTTGCAACTAGTACTAGTAGCATTTCGACTCTACTTTGGCTACTGAAGAAGACAAGGAGGCAAGCTTGGGGATGTTTCAAGTGTAGCGATGTCCATTCTTGATTAATAATTCATTCATTCATTTAGATCTGATGACAGCTTTTCTGTGGCATACAGAACGTATTAAATAGTCTAGCCGAGGAACATAGTGTACTGCCATGAGCTCAGAAATACATACTTTGTGTGTTTAAGAAAAAATATTAATCAAAATTTATTTCACTTCTAAGAACTTATCTTTCCCCTACCCCCTAACTTTTTTTTTTTTTTAATTAACATGCATTTCATTGAAGCATGTTGTATTTATTTAGCTAAGAGTGGGCCTGCCGTATTTATATTCAACCTTGCAAGTAAACACAAAAAACAAGCGGGGTTCTATTCTCTCACAAGCTGTGTTTACCAGTCATGCAAACTTGCTGGTTGTCAATTAATAATTATATGGATTCTCAACCAAAGCTTCAATCAGATTTCGGACAAAGTCCTGTGTTTCAGGAGAACACTGTGAATTTTCCTGGAACTTCTTAAAAGCGCAAGGAGCAATAAACCTGTAAGGATAACTGACACACGTCTGCATTTGGTCATGAGTGATGGAATCAAAACACGAAGGGAGGCTGTGTACAAGCGCTGGCCTGAGAAACCTGCACGTCAGTTGTGCAAGCCACATTATATAAATGGCATACCAGTCGTCGGTGAGTCGTTGCTCCCAAGGCTTTGTGACTTGTTGGCGACAACTTTCCCGCAAACTGTCGCAACTCTTCCTTACATACCAGAGTTCTAGACACTGGCTCGCAAAGTCCTCTGTGATATTAGCGAAGTTGAACTGGACCAGTATCCTGTCTACTTTGCTCTCCTGTTGTCCTTGAAAGATGCACTGAGCGTAACCACAACTCTTATCTGAAATGATACATCAAAGGAAATTATTATAGTAAAACTAAAGTTCGTGGATGTATGAAGTTTTCACCCATTTTGGGCTGCTCTGTGGATCTGACACTCCAGTGTGGCCAAATCGCAACGTGGATGGTAGATCAAGAGGCCAAATCCTTGATATCCCTTTCAACCTCAGAAGAAAGAAAGACTATACAAGTCTGTAGTGTTGATCGGGAAAAGAATAGAACAATTAAAAGTACAGGATAAGTTCTATACCATTGGCGACCCCGTGTAAGTTCCTGGGTCCTTTTGTTTGGGGTAAAAGTTGTTAGATTATGTTAGGGCTCCCATGAGAGCCGGGTGGGGTGGGGTGGGGGGGGGGGCTTAAAAATAACCCAAGCAAACGTGCGTGCCATATTGCTA